GTTCACCCAATACAAAACGAGACAGCCTTATTAGTTTCTACTAAGCTCTTCAAGAAGTACTACTGACAGCATCTCACTACAAACATTAATGCTACAAATGCTTCCCAAGTGCAACTTAAACAGCAAAAAGGCTTTTACAGATGCTTATAGAGAGGGGGGCATAAGCCAGCGTTCTTTGCTCAGAGCAGGAGGTGACAGACTCAGCTTTATAAGGGAATAGTGGCTACTTAGCTCACTAATCCACTTTTAACCTCAGCCTTTGGTTACTACAGGTCACCGAGTTAATCATTTAATTCTCACACAATGAACAAAATGCAAAGCTAAAAAAAAACAGCAGGAAAAGAAATTAGAGCCCGCTTTATCAGGTGAATCATTTTCTTAATACTGTCCCCATTAATTATTGACTCATATGTGCACAGAATCTGTTCCCAGCCTTAAAAACACGAGCTTACAGCAGACTGAGAAAGTTACTTGGGTAAATGTTTCTGTCTCGTGCTACAGAAACAACTGCTTTTGCACAGCATAAACTACTGAGCAATTCTCAGCTTGAAGGTTGTGCTTACAGAAATTTAGATTATGCTTTCAAATTGTAAAAAAGAGAGGCAGAGCTATAATCCTGGGAGGTGAATTAACTGCATTAGATTCCTAAGTCATTACTACTTCAGAGCAGACACATACTTTACAGCTAGAGAGCTAGAGCATGGCAGCTCTTCAGACACCGGCCTTATCTCCAGGAATGCAGTTGCAAAAGGGACCGAGTTCATTCAGAGTATTTGCAAAGGCTGGGATCTAAATTTGATGGCAGGTTACTGGGGCTTTTTCCTGTTTACCTTGAATTTTTACTGTTTATGCAGAATTACCAACAAGTCATCTCAACAGTGAGAGAGATGTTAAGCTACAGACACTCAGCTCATAAGAGCTGCTCAAAGACGCTCTGTAAGAACGACTGGCAAGTAATGTGAGAATTAACGTGGAATGGAGTGAACTACCAAACTGTAAATGCTTCACAAAGGGTGCGTGCTGTCTGTCAGGTATATTAAATTTGGTGGACATGGCAAACGTCCACCAAATGCAGACATGCAGACACAGAGAAGAAGAAAAATAAATCAAGGAAACTAAAAAATAAATTATGTAATTTATAAACATAGAGATATTTCCTTTTTTGTGCATCTTCCACGCAGATAAATACCTGGAATACAGAAGTGGCCGTAAATCAAATTTCTATATAGAAAAGGTGCAAGAAAAACAACTTACTTTTTTTTCAGTTTAAAAGTTACTAACACTATTTAAAAACCTGCATCAGTAAGAGTCTGCCTGAGAATTTTTTTTAAATTGTGAAGTTAAAAACTAAACCCAGAAACTCTGAAACTGCCATGCTGAGAGCCATTTATCCTGTTCCTTGCTCTACAACCTGCCTACCCACTTTCCTCAAATGATTCACCAGTCAAAACAGGGATCACAAGCTGTAGTTAAAGGCTCTCCCTTTCCAAGACTATCATCTCTGAACTACAAAATAAGGATATCTCTTGCTTTGTCTCTTTCTCTCTCCTCACAAATCTTGCATTGTTTTTTCTGCTCACTGGCCTAGCTTCAGCAGGCTGAAATGGCAACGTGATAACATTTCTTTTAACCTGTGATCGGAACAGCTTTCTAAGGGCTGGAATACTGGATTCAAATTCCCTCAAGCTGAGGAAGCAGCTTAACTCAGCTCTTCTCTTTTTGGGCAACCGTTCTAATTATTAGGCAACAGGAAACATCAGCCAGTAACAGTTTGGAGTAAATCTTTTAGACCCTTCTTCAGAGGCCAGCCAAAGACCTAGAACGTGAAGCCCACAGCTTTCATAAAGAGACAAGGCCAGAGCTGCTTAACTCAGAAAACTTGTCAGGGCTACTGGGCATGCAGAGACGCAGACGTTTAGGCAATCGAGCAAAAAAGTTACGTGCCGAGCTCTTGACTCATGGTTTTGTCAGATAACTGTTTTGAGTCAGGCACCTAAATTCCACCTAAATTAAGGGTGGGGGTGTAAATCCCTTTCTGAATCTGAGCCTCATCTCTTTCTCTCAAATACACCTAATAGCCAGAGGTGCACATTTCAGCACTGAAAATTTTAAAAAGAGGACCACTAAACTCAGAGGAGCCCCGGCAACCCACTGCTGCACAGAATCAGGCACAAACATGCACGAGTTTTGTACTATACTACTCCTGGGTTTACCAGAGTAATCGTGAGTAATGGACTGCAAGATTGACAGCGCTGCTGGAGGGGAAGCCATGCCCAGTATGTCCCTCCCTGCGCCTCGCCAAGCAGAGTTAGCCCTGTACAGAGGCAGAGGGCACATGCCCTGCTCTCAGAGCACCTGTGAAGGCCGTGCCAGCAGTGCTGCCAGCTTGAAGCATCCACAGAGGGAAGGTGCAGGGGAGAGACACACAGGACTTCATACCTATCGTGACCAAGACAGTGCCCTTGTGCCATAAATCTTGTTTTTCAGGTTTAGGCCTCAGACTGTTTGTTTTCCCATTAACTTGCTCTGATTCATGGGTTCCCAGACTCTGTCATCTGGAACCTCTGTTCCAGGGCAGCCCGAAGATCTAATACCAATTATTGGGCAACGTTCTATGGCCTTTGTCAGCAGGTGAGATCAGGGAATCCTGAATTTTAAGGGCAGGAAAAGCCATGATTAATGATTATTAAATGTGTTCCTCTACTGAATGTAATATGTGGTGTCTTACAAACTGGAAGTGAAGTGCTGGTCTGGTTACCTTTTCACTGGAGAAGGTGCAATAATTTTGGTAGTTCGTTCATGTTCCCCATTTGTTGTAATCTGGTTTATGCTGTTAGAGCCTGAAAAAATAAAAAACACAAAACAATCCTTTAGCAGGTCCCTTGCACACCTATTCAGCCTAACCAGTGTACAAAAAAAAATCCTTCTGAACACAGTGCAGTACGCGAGATAAAATAACACACAAGTCAGCTGGTGCACGTTGTGCTTGCTAGGGGTGTACAAGGAGCATGTTTCGGTGTTTTATCTTTGTTTTTAGTTATACCACATTACAAAAAAGTTCAGCATAGGTTACATTCATTACTCTTCTACATGAGATGGAGGAGTTAGGAGCTATTTCTCCCTCAGGGACACTATGCCACTGCAAATAGGAGGGAATTCCCTGCTCAGGCACTGATGAGAAGAAAGGTGAGAGGAGAATATAACCTCATTCAGTGAGGTATACACTCTGAAAATGTTTGGGACTCTCCAGTGCTATAACTGTGGCCTCTAAAACAATCATTAGATTGGATGGTTAAGCAAGATGAAATGTTTATTCTAAGAAATTTGATATAGTAACTGTGCATAAAGTAGCTGTGAGTTGATATAGCAACACTATGCACACATCACAGATATTTCCTAAGTTATGATCAAGAAAATAATAAACTAATAGATTTGAGAACTAATAATATAAACAGAGAGACACAATAAAGAATAATACTCTTAACAGAAGCAGCCAAGGCTCACTTTCAGTAAGCCAGAAACACCTGGCCGATATTTGAAGGATATCTGCCTATTTTCCAATGTTGTGCCCGATGCTCTATACATTTTGGTCCCAATCTTTGTGCACTGTTGGCATTGGAGCCCCCCACCAGAGCCCTGAAAGGGAACTTACAGAAGGAGAAGGAACATGCACTTTCCCCTCTTTCTGAGCCCCCATATTATCACGCTCCAACGGAAGAGATTGGTGCGTTCACGATTTAGGAGCAGCACAGAGGGCCACAGGATCTGGATATATAATACCGGGTTAAAGCCAAAATGGCACGATAAAGCTGTGCTGCACAGCTGAATACACCTCAGTATCATTAAAAGAAAAAGCAGCAACCTATTTAACTTGGTAGGTAGTGCAGGTACATCGCGCAGATCTGGCAGAGCTTCAACAACAAACAAAAAATACATCAATCACCAAGACAGGTTGGTTTTTATTAGTGTTATTTTTTTTTTTAGTTTTCATGCTGTGTCATTAATATTCATCTGTGCTGCCTCTGTGGAAAGGCTGAGGGGGAAAAAAAAAAAGAAAAAGAAAAAACGACGTGCCAAACAACTTCTAACAAAGAGAAAATTACCTGACAACACAGCTCTATGGAACTATTCCAAGGCTTCCAATACAACTGAATAACATTTTAATTTCTCTATTAGAACTGTGAACTATCTATTCCCTAGTTCAGTTTAGTGCCCAACTAAGGAGATTTGGTTTGATTCATTAGTTTTAAAAGGGTCCATCTGCCCAAAGAAAAAAAAACGTGGCAAGTTTTTTCTTGCTGTTCCATATAGAGATGTTAAAAAAGTAATTTCCCTTCAATTAGTGTGTTCTCCTTCTCTCTCAATGGCAATTTCAGTCATTTCTAAGAAAACCGTTCCCAACTCTAGAAGCAGATGTTATGTAAAATAACAAAACATCACCACTGATGATGTGCCTCAGTCCTGGGCAGGACTCGTAGGTTGTTCACTGAAGATAATGAAGGATTTCCATTACATATTGGCTGAAAGCCATAAAACTGCTAGTAAAAAAACGCTAGGTCTTTTGGAAAGCAGTAACAGCACCATACGGCTAATACAGTGGTACAAACTCAGAGCCTTTTTGTTTGGCTAAAACTATAACCGAATGTCTAAAATCAAACAGGGGCTCAATTCTGCATTATAAGTTTTCTTCGTAAGCTTGTTCAACTTCCCACATCACCCCTTTGACATACAAAATCTCTGGGGTCTATTCTACTTCAACACGGGCGTCTGAGGTGCCCTAAAACATCCTGTTTGGACATCAACTGCCCCTCCAGAAGGGTGTGGGTCTTCTATAGGCTACCTCTGCTAGTCTCCTGCAGATGTCTTGGATACAGCAGAGGGTCTCAAGTGGCATTAGTCACCGTGTGCAGGCAACTCAGTCAAGCCCTTTTCGTCTT